CGGGAGCAATGTGGTAGTCCACAAAATGCTTCAAATACACGATGAATGCCAGATCGAACCATTCATGTGATTACACGACTTTTCATCCATAGCTTTGATGTCAAAGATGGTAATAATTTCCATGCAGGAATTCTTGAATATTTTCAACGTAAATATTACCTGATTTGGAATCACCGATGGTTTTGTCAATGCATATCATCGCACAGACTTCAATTCATACCCAAGTAAGAGGAGGTTGGGACATGCACTTCCGTTGAGGATGCATTAGTCTTGAAAAGACGTGGAAATGAAAGATGAGGTCTTGTGACTTTGATGGCTAGTGGCGAGCGCAAGAATCAATAAAGCGGGGAAGAATATCATGCTGGATAACCTTTTCAATATTGGATGGGACAACAACACTAAAGCATTGCAATGAACAGCGCCCAAATCTCAAGTTCTCATGCCTGGAATGGATATTCAAGGGGTCAAGTTTTCACCGCTGTGTCATAGACAGGGTGACTGATCAAATCGAGTAATGTCAACATACAGATTACAGCTGCCAAGTCGAGATCTTCAAATAGTTGAGAGCAAGTGAGACAGTATGACCACATGCCACTGCATTTCTGGATCGCCTTGGGCATCACCCAGCCGAAATAAATTATTCGGTTCAGGGCGAGTATCACAAACCACAACTCTAAAGCAAGTCTTTGTTTCACGAAATCCTTTCTGTCAGAACATGAATTTGTGATGAAGTCTGCACGATACTGTGAATTGAACGATGTATGGTTTTGCAGTTTATTAATCATTCCTAATTTAACGACGGGGCAATGGTATTCCATACACGGATGTAGATCTCACTCTTGGCTACTATGCTTGACTGACATCCATCCTCACCTGTCATGATCAGCAGAATTTGAGTTGTTGTCTCTCGTATGTTTAAACTCGTGTTACACATTCTATGCCAAGCATCCTTCTTGGTCACTCGTTCGACGATTTATCGCTGGCCAATCTGTCTTTCAAAAATTGGCGATATATCTTAGCATCGAATCGTATTTTCGTGCTCAACATTCTCTTCATTCACTTCTCAAGAGTCGCGTTTTGCTACAATACATAATTGGCTGAGTGCTTTGAATATACCACTACAGTAAGAGTTCAATAGTTAAGTTTAGTTGTACTACCCTTTTATTCTTTCGACGTTAGCGAAATGTCCTCGTGATAGAGAGCTATTACCCGAGGCTTCTTTAAGTAAGTGCTTACAGATTCTCGAGAACATGGCTCAGTACATACTCGCCGACCCCAATTGAGTCTGTCATTTACTGCTTTTCAACATCTCAACTCGTATCATACGCTGATGGCGAGGAATTATTTTTTCAGGATCTCGAGTGATAGCGCCGTCTTTGACAAGAATCGTTTGATTGCCGATGCTGGTACTTGTAGTACTCGCAAATGCACTGGGGAATTCAAGATGTTTCGCTTCCTAGACTTGAGGTAATAGCCAGATGGAAAGAAAAAAACTCCATAGTGGTTGGCTTTTACTATATATTGTTTATCTTTGGATGTCATGGTAGTTCTATAGTTATAGGGTTGGCCCAAGAAAATCATATTTGGTCCTTCTTGCATCAAACTCGTGTAGCTGATCGGGATCAATTCCTGTGCAAAATACATGTCGTTCATCATTCAATTGTCCCCCACTTCTCTACATCTTTTGTTCAATACTCTATCTTGATTCACATCTCATATTCGTTTCAAATTCATTTTAGTGATTTTTTCTCTCATGGGCGCAATAAATTCCCCGAGTTGACTTAGAACTACTCGAATGTACAATAATACAAGTTAATTTTTCATATCGTTATCTGCGTGTTCATGCGTATAGATTATCACAGAGCGCTTAAACCAAAATCTCCACAGCCAACATTATCTTCGTACGAAACCCCAAGCTTTACACTCAAGACTAGAAGCGCGGACAAAAAATCCATGAGGATCAAAACCTCTAATTACAGCCTGCCAATGACCAACAAACAAATTATGGGGCCATTAAACAAAACGTGAGTGGTTTAAATCATTCAATTAAGCGATATTTTAGAGATATCAGGGGAATATTAAAAAGGCCGCGTACTCAATGCAGTCCTCTACGCCACATTTGGGTCGTGAATTTGGTACTTTGGACTGAGAAGTTGGTGTGATTGGAGATGAGAAGATAAGTTAAGCAAAAACGGACAGAATTAATAGCTGGGCCAAGAGGGATAAAAACATAGGTTCTGTTGGAAATTAACCTTCATGTAGACCGTTGATTATGAAGAAATGTTTGAAGACATTACTTGGGGAGAGATAATTTTCATAAAGTAGGTTGCCGTCCATGTACATGTTTTCCTTTTATTTTCTGTCAAGTCAACGGATCTACTTACTTTTCACATTCATTACAATACCACTTATCGTTTGTTAGTTCATTCATTCATTCAGCTTTGCATCCTTATTCCTTTCTTTCTGTCCTAACCTTACATTCTATATCGCGGGATCGATGAGAATTAGATAAATCATATCAAAGTTCACCATGAAAAATACATTCCCTTCCATATCACACATCGCTCTCTCCCTTTTCTCCATCTCCATTACCCTCCCCCTGACTCACGCCGGCGCTCCTCCTAAAATTCCAGGCTTCACTCTAACATGGTCAGACTCCTTTTCCGGCTCCGCGGGTTCCCTCGCCTCTTCCTCAAAATGGGAATACGAAACCCCCGCCACAAACCAAAACAACGAAATCCAACACTACACATCTTCCCCACAGAATGCTAACCTCTCCGGTTCCTCCACCCTCTACATCACCCCTCTCTATTCCTCCGGAAAATGGACTTCCGCACGTATAAGCACCTTACAAAGTTGGGGATGCGCCAACGGCGCCGAAATGATCGTTTCCGCCAGCATCAAAATGGGTAGTAGCGATCCCACTCATCAACAAGGTATCTGGCCCGCCTTCTGGACTCTAGGCGAAAGCTTCCGAGGCGATAACATGTGGCCCGAATGCGGCGAATGGGATATCATGGAGCAAGTCAACGGGGCATCTGCAAACGTGGGCACGATTCATTACGGTACCGCATCGTATCCACTCGCGATCGGATCGCCCAATGAGTGGTTCGATCGCTCGGATTGGCATACGTATGGCATACTTATCTCAAGGGTGGGAGACTGGCAGTCACAAAGTATCACGTGGGAGTTGGATGGGAATGCGTATTTTACGGTTACGGGGGCATGGTGGGAGATTATGCGAGTTGGGTGAAGTTGGTGGGGGAAACTTATTTTGTTATTTTGAATGTGGCGGTGGGGGGAATGTATCCGGGTATGCCGAATGGGTTGACGAAGGGGGGGATGGGGAGTGGAATGGAGGTGGGTTATGTGGCGGTTTATAATGGGGTGGGGAGTAGTTCGTGATGGGATGGATGTTGTATTGGTGGGTGGGTTAGGGAGTGGAGGGCGAGGATTTCTTTGTTTCTTTCTTTTCTTCCTCGAATTTTCTTTTGATTCGTGATTTGAATTTGGGTTTATGGACTTCTGGTTTGGTATTGGTTTACTGAGAAGTGGGAGACGGGAGACGGGAGTTTTTTTTCTTTTCTCTTTATCTTTTGGATTCCCAGGTTCTTAGGTTCGTGAATCCCGATCCTAGGAATGAAGAGAAATTTTGATATTCATCACGCTCAGCACTCACAATCAAGATGCTTTGATCCAAATCCTCACACGTTCAACGCGTCACTATTGTTCTTACTATCAAGTACCAGATACCAAATTCTGTAGTCTAGAATCTAGTGAAAATAGTTTGTTCCTAATTTCTAAATTCCGATTTCTCTATCCCCTTATCCTCATCCTTGTTTTCGTCGAGGTTTTAACTACTAAATCTCTTTGTGGTATTTATGTTTATTTCTTTAAGTTTTAGTTTTGAGGAAGAAAAGACTCGATAAGGAACTTTGAGATGTTGGCTTTCTACTGATTGTCTTTCTCGGAGAGTTCTCCTGGAGATTTCTATTCGCGGATTTGGAAGGCTGGATGATGAGATGGCGGGATGGTGGGGAGGGTTTATTGTTGTTTTCTTTCTCGTTATTGTTGTAGCCGTTGTAGCTATTATTGTTGTTGTTCTCGTGAGTTTGCTGCTGGTATGCTGAAGAGTGAAGAGTGAAAATAGTTTGTTGTTGTTGTTGTTGTTGTCGTCGTCGCTTATTTTTATTACCATTTTATTTTTACTATTGTGACGAACTATAAAGGTGTGTGTATTGTCTATTCATTGTAATCTTACATCTCACAACTCTCTCGAGTCTCGGGTATTCGGAAGTGAGGAATCAGAAATAGGGTAATGAGTTGCAAGTAGTGAGTTTGATATAGTAGTACCTGATCTATCATGATTAAACAACGCTCAAAATGCAAAAATATTTCCTAAAGCGAGACATTGAAAATGATAGTTTGGGTGAGTTGGAAGGTGGAATCTTGATGAGGGGGATTGAGGGTTTTATAGTGGCTGGGGTTTTTGATTTCTGGGAATCCGTTTAGGAAATAAGACTTGAGACGCTCACAGCTTACTACCCCGTGGGCTGGTTCTGGAAAAGAAGAGGGGTATTAAATATGCCGTCTTTGTTTGATCTTTGTTTTTGAGGTTATACATCTAAACGAGCTTGATGAGAACACTTGAGGGTGGTAGTTTGTTTGTTAGTGATATGTGGGAATTTTGCGCGGGAAGTGATGGGTTGTTGGAGTTGAGAGGTGAGAGGTGAGATTGTGTGGGTTGGAATTCGATACTACCAAGATGTCTGTATTGTCATTTTTATTTTCATTATTAAACTACCCATCAACAGTGCTGAAACATACTTTCATTGTCGTGACCTAATTTTCGTTCCTTTTTTACTTCACCAATCCCACATCTTCACATTAAACCTCTTGTATCAGATTAAAATTACACTCGACGCTTTACCCCCCATTGATTCATCTGCAAAATCACAAGGACTTCGTTGCCCTTCAGATACTCAAGTCTGTGTCCGTTTTTAATTCTAGAGAGGAAATGAGAATACGAAAAATCTATGCTTCTATGAACTACAGGTAGGTATGAAAACAGAGAAATAACCGAGTGAATGCAGATGTCACCCAAATTCCTGTCTATCCTCTTAAACTCCCTATCATTCCATCCATCATCTGTCATGTTAACCAACCTCTCTAATCCACCCCCTGCCGTCAGTCTCTCCCTGGGATTAAACCTCAGAATCTTTTGCAAAAAATCATTATCCACTTTCGCAATCTCCTTCTGCGTAATCCTCGAAAATGGTTTCATCTTCTCTCTCGGAACCGATTTCATCGCTAACACAATCGCATTCTGCGTTCCCTCATCTGCTATCTCAGCAAAGGAAATTGGGAATGATCCGAGATATTGATGATGTTTTTGGAGTACCCCGAAATCATATTCGTCATCGTCGAGGGTTACGCCGTAGTTGAGGGGGTTGAATGGATAGTAGTTGCCGTAGATGAGCATTAGGATCTGGGGTGAGAATGTGGGTATCAAGTCCATATATTGTTACCTTGGCAGAGAAATCATGTATGCTATCACATACCGAACACCCAAACGACCAAACATCCGCTGATGTACCCCACCGCATACCAAGCAGCACTTTTGGGCTTCGCCAGTAAGCGGTCCTGACTATATGTCCTTCCACTGCCCATTTCGAATCTACGGATACTGTACCACCGAGATCGGCAAGTTGGACCTCGGAAAACCGTTGCCTGTTTCCATGATTCACGAGCATGTTATCCAGTTTCACAACTGGTTGTATTAGAGATATTACTCTGAGGTATCTAGAGTAAAGAGAATTATATACCGGTATGAATAAATCCCTCATCATGCAAAACCTTCAAAGCTTCCAAAACCCTCCTTGCAACAAATTTAAGTTCACATCTACTAAGTTTTTTCTTATACGTCTCGGTCATGATATCATCATCTAAGTATCTCAGAACTATACTTTGGGGATCACTCGGGATCACAATCTCATCGATTGTCGGTCTAAGAAATGATGTTTTAGATTCGAAGCGTTTGAGAATATCAGCTTCGTTTTGGAGTCGCCAGTGTGCATGTACACTTTTGACTATGAAGTTTTGGTTTTGAGAGTTACTGCACGCTGGGTGTAAGTGGAGAAGTTTGATGTGGGTGTGTGTTAACACACTGTGCTAGGAAAACATATTTATGGAGTTGTTTGGTGATGGTGTAGGTATTGGTTTTGCCTTGGAGGATTTGACCGATGCGGAGGAGGGGAGATATTTGTTACTTTATTTTGTGGCTTCGAGGGGTTTGGCGTGGGATTTGAGATTTGGGGAATAGGAAATATATAATTTGAACCATAAACTGCCCAGATCTGTGTTAAGATGGAAATATCGGCATTTGAATGCATTGAATTGTATACCACAAAGATAAAATACTGCTATCGCCTAAATACAAAGTAGATTAGCTTAGTAAGCCACAATTGCGAGCCGGTTGGGCTCTACGAAATAAGTGACCGGAATTGAATACTTCAGTCTAATCAGAGGAATTAGAATCACAAATCAATGCCGCATAAAACTCGAGATTCGGAAAACACTAAAAAGAAATTCATCTTCGACTTCCACTAAGAACTTATTGTAGCAAAACAAATCATACACAGAGCTTGAAGGTAGCAATCGAGCTGTAAAGATTTTCTAAAAGTGTTCATCTCCGACAATCTATCTCGCTTAAGGAGGCTGGACTTGATTTTCTTCTATATAAACGTCTTCTCGATTCGATATTTATGTTTCTAGACACAAACTAAAAGAAAATGGAGGAAATGCATCCGGATGTGAAATCACCAGATACTCGAGAGTTTAATCCTAATCATGAATTTAGACATGATGGAGGTGTAAGCATATATACACCCACGTAACAATTAGAATCCAATATTGTTCCTTGCAACAACAACTCATTAGGTAGTGGTCATTGTGACTAGCAAATCTTTCTTATTGTCAACTCTTCAAATTCTGATTTACTGTCATCTTCTGACTCTTATCATCACCATCTATCCACATTCCTCTTTCCACTGTCTTCAGAAAAACTATTCTCTTCATAGTAGTTACATTCAAATTCCTGTAGAATCCTATAGAACTTCTCAAGTCTTCTTAACTCTTCCCAAGACTATGTATTCTCTGATGTGAAGACCAGCTCATCTCTATTTCCTCTTCTGAAAATATCTATAAGCTCTTTCTACAGATGCAAAGTAGACGTTTTATAGTACATCTCTACCTTTTTTCTCTCGATATTTAAAATCCATCCTTACCCGTACCTCACAATCCGCTGAGTATATAAACCATATCTTTCTCCTCCAAATCTGACGCAAAGTGTAATGTGTACTCGGGAACATCCACAGATAATGGGTTTTCGATTCAGTTCCCTTCTATGTGATCACGATTTTTACGGACTGTGAGATAGTTTTGATTTGGAGGGTATATAGGAAACTATCCTGCGGGCGCAAAGGCTTCTGAGATGAGAAGTTTATAAGAAGTAGAGAGTGATGATGATTATGACAACAAAACAACAGCGACAACAACAGCAATACCCCTCTCCACAACAAACAAAATTAGCCCAACCCAATATCCTCCCAAACCTCTCTCCTTTTGCGTCCAAGAATTTAAAAATCGCCAGCTCTCCCACCAATTGCTCAAATCCTCCAGTACATCTACCTCCTCTCCTCACGAGCAACAGCCTCGATAACACCGGAAAGTATAATCTTCACAAACCTTAGGCACTCTCTTTTATACACAACAGAATACCGCTAGCACCACTAGTACTACTATATAGTATATGCTATCTTTCATATCTTCCAGTGAATCTGGACCCATCTATTCCCATAATCGCACCGCAGCATGCGCGTATCTCATTTGAATTTTTACAAAGTCTATTATCCAATATCTATCCCCTCCAGTGCCAACCCTACATCAAAATCAAAATCAAAATCAACAAGCGAAGAGAAGAGAAGAGAAATTCCAGTACGAAAACGCAACCCTCGAACCTCACCCTCAACTCTTAACACGATCACCAGATACATATATACCACTTAAGGCATTATTCATACAGTAATTCTTAGTTGATATTTATATTCATGCTCATGTCCAATCTAGACATCATCCGCCCCTTCACTATCGATATCGACTTCGCTCTGCGTATGTGATCACTGATTGGCGCTCCTCTTGTACGTGGTATACATGATATACACGATACATCCAATCTAATTCAAATCAAATCAGCAAAACAAAGTAAACCAAAGCCAATCACACTTGTGAATACAACCATACATACATTCCCGTACTTCAATTTCAATTTCAAATCCACAATGTAAGATTACACATGCATCATTTGACAGTATTCAATTCAATTCAATTCATTAATTAACACATCCATCCGTCCGTCCATGCAATGCCCAAATGCTCCTCTCCATTTGCTCAAATCCATTGTGATATGCTATACCGGTATATTCCCTATCGATTTACAACCCACTTATTTCGATTTCTTCTTCCTCTTCCCATCAATTTGTTCATCTTCTGCCGCAACATCATCTGCTTTTCTCTTTTTGTCCTTCTTTGATTTTTTCTCTTTCTTACTCTCTACTTCTGGCTCTTGCTCTTGCTCAACCTCGACCTCTTCAACCTCGTTCACTTCCTCTTCAACTTTCTTACTCTTCTTTTCCTTCTTTGATTTCTTCCCCTCATTTTCCTCCACATTACCATCTCTTTTCCTCTTCTTCTCTTTCTTCTCCTCTTCATTCTGAGCCTTTTCTTCCTGGGCCTTCATACCCGCCTCAACCTCCGCTTGCAACTGTGCCTCCATAGCTTGGAAATTAACCTCTTCCTCCTCAATTTTCTTTTCCTTCTCCTTTTCCTCCTCATTCTTCTTCTCTCTCTTTGATTTTCTTCCCACCAGAGCGTCCTCCGCCTTTCGCTTCTTATCTTTCTTATCCTTCTTATTCAAATCTGCAATTGGAGTCGGTTCTGTATCGACGAAGAAATGCGCACTTGATTCCGTCTCCACCGGCGCACTTGTCGAGGGATCTTTCTTAGATTCTGCCACAGGTGCATCTTCCATTTCTACATCTTCATCTTCATATCCTCCTACTTCTGCTGCATCGGAGTCGGAGTCGGAATCGGAGGAGGATGAGGAGTCTGAAGAGGAATCGGAACTATCGTTGTTACTCTCATTGGTTTTGGTAGCAGCAGTGCCATTTTTCTCCGCCGCGAGACGAGCATCGAGTTGTGGAACAAGAGCTTCGTAACTTGTGCCCAAAACTCCCAATCCCTTTCTATCTTTCATCAAACGAGGAGGTAACTATTTCGCAATCGCATTAGTAAATCCCCATCATCCCACATCCCATCACATCCCCTTGCCCCCAGAAAAACTCACGACAAACTGCGCCATCTTCCTCCCACTAACCAACGTATCCCTCCCCCTATCCAACAATCCACACAAAATCCTCCACGGCCCCTCCTCATTCAATTCCCACTCCCTCTTCTCCTCCTCACTCAAATTCTTCATCTCACCCCTCATCGCCTGTTGCACCCTATCCAGCGCCTTACAATGCGCCTCTAGCACGCCCAAATGTTTTCGAAAAAGCGCGCCCCATTTCGCATGCACAGAGCGATTCATCAACGGAACCTCTGGTTTATTCGTACGAAGCGGATCTTTATCCTTGGGGAGTTTAGGTTTGCGAACGCGTTGATCTTTGGGGATTTTGGCTTTTCTTTCTTTCTTGGGTTTGGCTACCCGTTCGTTGCCATCGCTGCGACCCATGATGCGAAGAATTGATGATGATCGAGAGGTAGAATGGTCTGGAAGGTTTGTTTATAGAAAATGAGATTGTCTTTGCGATGTGATATTTTTCGCGGAATATTTGTTACACCGCCTTAGCTTGAACACGGCAGAATGATCTAGAAAATCGAAGAATAAAAGCGGTGTGGTTTAATTCGGGGTGTCAATTGCGTGGAGTAAGTACAGTTTTTGAATCCTTGCATGATAATCGTTATTGTTAAATATGTGAAATACAGAAAGCTAGAACTGTGAATAAGAGATTCAAGGCCTGAGCCTCGCTTACTCGTATACTCTCTCCGTGATTATAGGAATGCTGTCCCTACAAGTTCATACTGAGTATATCCTCCAAGATACCCACCCGCATGATATATATACATACAGTAACATATTCTATGTTAAAGAAACTACGAGTAGATACAAGACGCTAATGATGAGCTGGAAAGATACTCAAAAACGAAAGCGACAAGCTGACATTGCCAGTATGGCCTAATACCCCTGATGTAATTGACATATATCAATACAAAAACTTAAGCCAATTCAATAAACAGTGGGAAATGATATCAAATGGTATCATTCATTAAATTTGTTGGAATATATCATGGTATACGCGGTATTCAACCCGCGTTTGCAGAACCTGAATCAAAACGCTTGAGTAAGATGCAGTTTATTCCCTTTGCCTAGTCCCAGCTACCCGATTACTCTTCTCAACTCGAGTCTCGTCATCCCTCATACATTCGTATGATGTAAAGCCTGGTAGTAACTCATCCAGAGTATCAAAAATCCATATTGTCCAATCCGATAAAGCAACTCCATCGCTATGCATATTGCAATATGCTCTTTTTTTTCTTCTCAAAAATGCAAAAGTAACATCTACTCAACTCCCACCCCCACAATCCACCCTCCCGTATCGCAACTCTCATTGAAAATATAACCAAAAGCTTGATAAAAGCATCTCGGCTTATGTATACAACTTGGCCATTGAATCCCAACTATCAAGTAAACTTCTCTTCGTCGTAGTGTTGGTCAAATCCAAATTGCCTAAACTACACCAATTGTTCACATCCTATTTTCGTATCATTAGATTGACTTCAACAATGGAATATAACCGAATAAAATAAGGGGAAAACTTACAATACAACTCAAGTACTTGCACCAACCGCAAGTCTTTCTATAGACATAGAAATTGTTCAAAAGTAAAATAAACACAATGAAGACGAAGACTAAGGCGGCTAATCTCAAAAGCAACCAAGCCCACCAAGCTGGTTTTCTGCCCTTGAAAAATCCCGAAGGATTTTTGAATAAACTAACGATACCACGGTCACCTTGGCTCGCTTTAGTAGGGACAGGTGCGTATGGTGGATCTGATTGACCTGTTCGCATTCGTAAAGAATTGGGTGAACGAAGAATCGATAAACCGAGAACAAGACCCATAAGGAATCCTCCAATATGAGAGAAATTATCAAGACCGGGTAAAAGACCTAAAACGAACGATATGACGATATCAAGCATGATAAAAGCCAATTCTTTCATCGGACTAACACGTTCTTTCCACTTATACAATAAGTCAAGTAGTGTAAGAGCAATGAGGCCAAAAAGAGCTCCTGATGCGCCTGTTGATGATATACCAGTTGCTGCAAAATTTCCACCTAATATAAATCCAAATATTCCGCTGGAGATATAAACCAGAAAGTATCGAACGGGTCCTATTAAAATCTCCATTTCTTTTCCCATAGTCATTTGAAGCAACATGTTGAAACCTATGTGGATGATTCCGGCATGAAGGAACATGGGTAAAATGAACCTATACCATTGATCCGGTGTTGCTCCAACTCCTCCAAATCCACAAAGATCACTTATTGAACATTCGGCTGACGTTGAACTTGTTGTGTTTGGACATGGCCAACTTATGGCACTTAAATCTGGTATGGCGGTCATATTATGCATACAAGGCGTGAATCTTGACCCCATGTTGATGACTACGTATGGTGAAGGGCCAATCATAGGGTTAAAAGATGGATGAATTTCGATAGGAGAGCCAGTAAGTTGAGCTATCTGATATTAGTATTTCATACTCAAACTCTGCATCAAAATACTTACAATTCTTGACAATCTCCACAATAAATACTATCACTTGTATCAATGTGAGAGTATATGTAACGAAAGGAAACCCTTTCTTTTTATTGATAAGTGACATAGCCATAGCGTCGCTCATTCTATTCTTCTTGTTATTCTGTAAATGCGAAGGTACTCCCGATTCTCCTGCATCATATACATGATCGTTTGAGTTCGAATCATAAATATGATCGGTAGAGGCGTCCTTTGGTGGTACTTGCGGATTTTCTCGTAGAGGTATATCATCATTGGAGTAACCCATTCCATCATGAGGCCTGCCACCCCCCCCTTGTGAATAGTATTCCGAATTTTGTCCAAAGCTACTCGAGCTATCTTGTCTATGCGGCGGCACATTTGGTGCTGGATATACATGATCATCGAACGGGGCTTCGAATGGTGAGACTGGTGACATTTCATGAGGTCTAGTCGATCCTACTCGGGATGGAATCGAGCCTTGTCTTGAAGGTACTTGAGAATGATATGATGGAGGTACTGTGTTTTGTTGAGATTGAACGTCGAATTGACTCTGATATGGTTCTGGTGGTTCGGCATGTTGATATTGTTGTTGTTGATGTGAATAAGAGTTGTAATAATCGTTCGACGCCATTATCGATGTTGGACACGGTTTGAATGTATCGAGTAACCGTATCAACTTGACACTATTGAGGAATCGTTCGTAGAGGTAGAAATGGTTCGCTCACATAAAAAAAGAAAGTTGAAGTTGCGATCGTCTGAAGATTGTACAAGCCTGAAACAAGAGATCCCCAAGGTCGAAATGCAGGTTCTTGGCTAAATATGTACAACGAATGTGGAGATTTGACGCTGTCAAAATATCTTAGTGGTGATCAGTTACTATTCATAAGTACTTTTTCCTTCAGTTTCTGTAAAACAGTGTGAGAAAAAGAAAATTCAACGAATTTGTAGATTCTCGAGAATCTCGTAATGATTTCAGATAGGCTGGGGGTGGATATCATTTATTGATTACCAGGTACAATCTTTTGGCTCTAGAAGCACTGCCCCGACCGAGGAGGACTTGAGAAGCGTTGTGTAAGGATAGAAGTAGAAGGGAAAGAAAGGCTCGAGAATGGTCAAGCAAGGTACTGGGTAATAAGGTTACTCAATCGGAAAAGATTCTGTTTTTGGATTTGTCCCCGTTTCAGAACCAACCATCAAACCAAAGAGGCTTGTGCCTGAGCTGCTGTAGGGATTTTTAGCAGCCCGAGAACCTTAAAGTGGTTCGAATATCGAATTCGTTGGATTATGCGGTGAAGATTTACTTTTTTTTATATTTGGAAGATTTGAGAATCAACTGAACAAAAGGAATTCATGCTGTCTAAAGTAAGGGTAGGTACGGTAGAATTGTTAAGTCGTGATCATCGTCAAAACGAGGTTTCACATTACCCTGATTCACAAGCATCGATCCAGCGGGACTCACTTACCAACAAGTTGAAGAATCTAGCTCTCCATGCAAAAATACTGATAGGGCTGTACGGAGTGGTGTAAGCTGGTCTTCTATCATTCTAACAGCCAGCAGCAACAGGGCTACGTAACATTTTCGCGTCACTCTTGGCAACTCGACAATTCAGTGGAGAGAGCTACGCAAGTCGGAAGGAATTATGAATATGGTATCATCTCATCCAATCAAATTGATTAATTTGTCGTGTCGATACTTTGTTTCTATTTACATCTTGAAAAGTGGCTGTGAGAAGTAAACAAGGCTGATTGGTTTTCATGAAGCTCATCCATGAAATTGTTAAAGATCACCTGAAAGAGGAAAATTATGGGGAGAAGATATCCATTTAATTTGTTCGTGATCCAGCCCCAACAAAGATTTTCATGACCTTTCTTGGACCCCGTACTGAATAATGACATTGTATCGAAGTAAACCCGTCCGAACTCCCTCCATCATCGTATATCGTTATCATAAAATTCATTAGCTCCTGAAAAATTCATCGCGTAGTCGCTGGAGATGTGTCTAAGGGGGACAATTGTGCGCCGTCATAATAGTATCGCTATTGGGTATAATTGAAAATGCAGCGCTGGGAAAGGGGAAAATTTGGAGCAATCGAAGTACGTGAGATTCATCTGTAAAACATTTGTTAGCCGAGATTTCTTGTGGTATTTCAATTCAATATGCTTTTTCCGGGACCAGTTTCGATCGCCATAATCAGATTCCTGCACGGTAGGTACTGCTCGAGGGGGAGTCAACGATAGTCTGAGCCCCGACATACTCCTTTATGTCTCACTCGTGCGTCGGCCGGGGCGTGCTTAAACGAAAATTGTTATATCTGAAGATAATATCGATACATCGCATTTGAGAAATATTCATGATTCTCTACACTTACGTTATAGTGAGATGGAGATGGTAGGTCCATATTTCGTATCTGTGATCCTACTCCAAGCAGAACTTGTGTTGCCAACGACCGCTCTGCTCACATCCCCCATTGTGACTTTCAGTTGATCGTTGGAAACCGCATATGGTAGGATGATCCTCCGAATGCTTTGATGAATGAAAGTGGTTAAATAAGAGAATAGAGTATACCCCATTAGACTCATAGATAGAAAAATGATCGAATTCATAACCAGCTTTTCTGCCGGAGTCAATACATATGCCGAGAATGTAACCTCATATCGGTAATTCATAAGTCGGATTTGGTATATTAAGTTGTCTATGAAAGACGCTTGCCTGCAATGCTTTGGTGAAGTAGGAAAGGAGTATGAGTATGAAGAATAGGACCTATTGATCGTGAAGGAATCGAATGTTTGAAGTTTTGTCGAATGATCAAGGAATTAGCGATGTGTATGATTGGGTGGAATAACTTGATGTCTGGGGCAGGATTATTCTGTGCATATTGAACAATGAGATGTTGGTAAACTGCGTTTCCAACAACCGATTGAAATGCTGGAAACAGGATTTCAGATCGCAATGACACTCAGTCTGTAGTATTTTTTCGATATGTATAGAAGTCTCTGGACAAGAAACAAGATGCAAAGAAAGATGCCTATATACATAGAAAATGAAGATTTTCATGAGAAATTGGTCAGGCGACATGGCCCCTCAAATTCTCTTCCTGTGGTGCAATCATGGTAGGCCAGCACACATACTCTGTGTAGCTTCAAAAAGCTTTGGGATACTTCCACATAAAAATTTCCAGTCATTAAGTGTGATGCATGAATTTCGCTGAATGATAACACTTGTTATTGGTCAACGACCTTCCTCCTAAGCGGAATTGGGAAAAGCTTAGCCTCGAGGCATGGAAATAATGATAAGAACGACAGTATAGAGCGGTTTCATCGGGTAGAGTATATCTTCCAAGAAAAGAAAGATCTGAAAATGATTCCCGATTTTCGAAGCCAGGAAATTCACATTATGTAACGGTTTTTGTACTCGGGATTTTGATGCTGATATACGAGCCTGTATTATTCGTGTGTCGAGGGCAGAGAGATGCATCATGTACTCGTGAAGATATTCTTACTCTTCACACTAAATTTAGTCCACTGTCCATCTCAATGATATAGTCGCAATGGTGTGTGGTGACATATAACAGAATATTGAGGGAAGCAAATACTCAATCTAGTAGACTTGACCTATAGATCGTGTATCAAGAGTGCAACCTGGTCAAGAATGATGTAATGTCAAGTTGTGGAACCGCTGAATAACGAACCCAATCGTTGGTATATCAAGTCTTGAAATTGGGTTTCTGAAAGAAGATCTCGAAATGCTTTGCATGCAGGTGGTGTTGTACAGATCATTTGTTAGTTAAAGCTGTGTTCACAGGAAAGGGCTATCCTACTTGATGGTTACTTTCATCTCATAAAGATAAGATACCGGTAGGATGCTTCTCTGCTTACTTAATCACAGCGGCACCTTTCAGCCACACCCGCCACTATGGAATCTGCCCCCTTGTCCACTATAATTTCGACGCGTCCACAACGCGCGAAAAGTGATTGATTGACGCGAACTTTATATTGAAATGCGTCTTCTAAAATCCGAAAACCAAATTCCTATCAACAACCTTCCCACTACGTCTTTCCTTTCAGCAGCATAGAAGCTGTAAAATCTCCACAATGGCTCCATCAAGAGTTCCTCAAAAGCGAATCTTAGGTGAAGCAAAGAACATTCAACAAAGCAATATCCCCTCATCTCCTCCGACTGGGGCAAAGAAACGAAAGTTAGAACCAGTTGCATCATCACCAGCACCAGTTCGATTCAAGAGTTCACAAAATGGTCCAAGAGGAAAGCTGGCTTCTAGCCAGCCTAGTCATTTTGAATCTGAAGTGCTGGAAAAAATGACACAGGATATGGAAAGTTTAAAGAAGAATAATTCGGAAAAAGATCAAGAATGGGCAAGGCCGAGCCTGGCAGACTTCAACCCTGAGGTTGATAATTTAATCTTTCAGCAGATTGAATGTGAAGAAGGCACTTATGATGGAGGAAAGGCGACTGTGAAGTTGTTCGGTGTTACTGAGGTAAAGTTCATTCCAATTCCTTTCGAGGCTATAACTAACACCACATACAGACTGGTCATTCAGTTATGCTGCATGTAAAAGACTTCCTTCACTACATTTACGTTGCCGCTCCAGTTAGTTTTACACATAAAGATTGTGAACCATACAAGATGTTCCTGGATTCACAAGTTGGAATGCACACGCCTGCCATTCATTCAGTATCGGTTGTACTACGAGAGAATTTATACGGATTCACGGGAAATAAACAGCACGCATATATTAAGATTACAGTTACGGACCCTAAATACATCAACAAAGTTAGGACAACTATCGAGGAGGGTAAAGCAAACTGGAAAGGAATGTGGAGGAATGATGGAAATGGTATCTTGACTTTTGATAGCATTCAATATGTGTTACGATTTATGGTCGATGTCAAGGTGTGTTCCTTTGCTCTCTTCATTCTCCACCTCGTTTTCTCCTCTCATATATCATCCCCTACCACACTCTTGCTTTGAACACATCTAATCAATGACAGATTTATGGTATGTCATGGGTTGAAGTTGAAGCAAAGAAATACGAAATAGTTCCAGAACACAATAGACAATCGAATTGTCAAATCGAAGCTGCAATGACATATCGAGACTTAATTGCGCACAAGCCCGAGGGGGAATGGGCGAAAATGGCACCTCTACGTATTCTATCTTTTGACATTGAATGTGCTGGTCGCAAGGGTGTTTTTCCGGAAGCAAACCAGGATCCTGTTATCCAAATTGCTAATATTGTTACTCGATATGGAGAGAAGAAACCATTTGTACGAAATGTCTTTTGTCTTGATACTACCAGTTTGATTGTCAATACACAAATTCACGAATTCAAAGAGGAGGAGACGATGTTATCGAAATGGAGAGACTTTCTCGAAGAGGTAGATCCAGATATTATCATTGGTTATAACATTGCCAATTTCGATTTCCCATATCTCCTAGATCGAGCCGATCACTTGAAGATCAAGAACTTCAGTCAATGGACTCGATTAAAGTCTATCCACTCTCAAGCTAAATCTTCCAACTTCTCCAGCAAGCAGATGGGTAACAGGGATACAAAAGCTACCAATACGAATGGACGACTTCAATTGGACTTATTACAACTTGTTCAGAGAGATCATCAACTTCGAAGTTATACGCTCAATTCCGTTTGTGCTCAATTTTTGGGTGAGCAAAAGGAAGATGTTCATCACACTATGATTACCGAATTATTCAATGGAACCCCCGAGTCTAGACGAAGATTGGCTGTATACTGTCTAAAGGATGCTTTTCTACCTCAACGTCTAATGGATAAACTTTCATGTTTAGAAAATTATACGGAAATGGCTAGAGTCACAGGTGTTCCTTTCAATTTTCTTCTATCTCGTGGCCAACAAGTCAAATTCATCAGTCAACTGTTTCGAAAAGCTTTAGAACAGAAATTGGTCATTCCTAATCTATCATCCAACTCATCTGACGAACAGTACGAAGGTGCCACTGTCATCGAACCCACCAGAGGTTATTACAGTGTTCCAATTGCAACCCTGGATTTCGCCTCTCTATATCCAAGTATTATTCAAGCACATAATCTTTGCTATACCACATTACTCAAGAAAGATGTTGTGGAAGCTCTCAAACTTGAGAAGGATGAAGATTATATCGTTACACCAAATGGAGATATGTTCGTCACTACAAAGCAACGAAAAGGTCTTTTAACACAAATTCTGGAAGAATTGTTAACAGCAAGAAAACAAGCTAAAAGAGAACTTGCTGTTGAAACCGATCCTTTCAAAAAGGCTGTGCTGAACGGTCGACAACTTGCCTTGAAAATTAGCGCAAACAGTGTGTACGGCTTGACTGGTGCCACTGTCGGAAAGGTACCTTGTTTACCAATTGCTAGTAGTACCACAAGTTATGGTCGTCAAATGATTGAAAAGACCAAAGCAGAAGTTGAGGCGAAATATACCATCGCTAATGGTTATTCTCATGATGCTCAAGTCATTTACGGTGATACCGATTCAGTCATGGTTAAATTTGGTGTGAAAGAATTGGCAGAAGCAATGAAATTGGGAGAAGAAGCTGCACAATATGTTTCTTCAAAATTCATCAAGCCGATTAAGTTGGAGTTCGAAAAGGTTTACTACCCATACC